TACAAGACTTTGACAGCTACCCGCTCCCTCTTCTGCTGCGACCGCCTAAGTGATCAGAAGTTGTCCCCCTCCAATGTGACAGGTCCCAGAAGACTACAGAACTTTTCACAAAGGGCAGCACTACTCACACATGCACATTGGGCACCGACGTTTATGCAACTTTACACTGTGGTGCTAAAGTTGCAAGAAAGTTGCATCAAAGTAGTGCAGGATCTTATTCACGTCCCTGCGACTTTGTTGTATAGATAGTAACGGTTGTCATAGAAATCAATGGGCTGCGACTTGTCATGTGACTTTATGGGGTTGATTTACTAAAGGCAAATACTGTGCAATTTGCAAAGTGCATTTGCTCCACAGGTTAGAAAATGGGTTGAAACTTCACTTTGCAAAGAATACCCAATGTGGTTCAAGTAAGCTACAAAAAAACCCAGCATTTTTTGCTTGCACATGATTGGATGATGGAAGTCGGCAGAGCTTCCCCTTAATAATGAGCAACTGCACTTTGCAAAGTGCACACTCAAATTGTCTTTGGTAAATCGACCCCTAAGTGTCCAAAGTCGTATGACCAGTCGCACTAGTGTGAGTGGAACCGATAAGACTGCTCATTAGCGCCCTTGCTCTTCATTGAGGACTACGAGCTGTCTGCCACGGTGGGCACAGGACTTGTAGATTCTTTACCCACACTCTGGGAAATGTCAGTGGCCACTGGTAGAGGATCACGGTGTCACAGGCTGGGGGTGAGCTGGAGCATGGAACTTGTTCCAAAAGGTAAACTTAACCCTTTTTATGGATAAAATCTTCTTGAATTTTGTAGAACCCATTCCTTCAAATACTAGCATTTCCTTTATTAGCGGTCTCCCCCTTTTTGTTTGTTTTTTTGTTTTTTTTGCTGGCTGCCAGTATTTTTGTAAAAGCAATCAGCGCAGCTAATTAGCCATTGGATTGTTTTTACAGGCAGTGGTTGCCCCTCCCTTCCGGTTCTGCTCTGGGATCTCTGTCCCACTTTAAAGTGGTGGTTACACCGACTTACCATATTGCCATTGGAGGACCGGAAGGCTTCCAATGAGCTCCCTTCCGGTTTCCACAAAAGTAAACTGCTTTTTGAAACTGAAAAGTATCTGATCACACCAATCTTTAGGGCAGAGGAGAGGCCTGGTCAAGGGTCTAGTAGACCCCAGATCTCTCCATAGAGTACCTGTTGGCACAAGGGATGTTTACAATCCTTGTGAGAGCAAGAAAAGTGGTAAAAGTTTTATTTTATTTTTTTTTACACAATTTAAAAAAAAAAAAGTTTAAAGCGCTCATGTGCAATAGTGAACATAAACCATGATCACACCACACATTCGGTATTGCCCAGAGTGTCAGAGCAAGAGCAGTAATTCAAGTACCAGATCTCCTTGGTAACTATAGACTGGTAACCTGTAAAGGCTTATAAAGCGTCACCTATGGAGATTTTTAAATCCCACATTTTGGTGTTATTCCACAAACATGCACAATTTTAAAGCATGACATATTTGGTATCTAGTTACTTGCAATAACACCAGACTTTTTTTTTATTTTTAACTTTTTTTTCCCCCCCAAAAAATGCATTTGAAAAACCACATGTGACATAAAATTGAGAAACCCACCATTTTATTCTAAGGCCTTTGTTAAAGTGTGTTTAGTAATTTTTCTAGCCAAAAAATACAGATTTATAATTCTAAACAAAGTGTTAGAGAAGGCTGGGTATAGTAACATTACACCTATTTTTCATAAAACAAATAACGCAACTTGCGTGTATTCTGTTATTTCCATAAATTGTTTCCTCTGCATTTACTCTCAAAATGACCTTTGAACGCTCAGACACACTTCCTGTTCTATCTCTGCCCCTTGTGCCACGAGGACCTATGGAGTAAGTTTTTCCACTTACAAAGAAATGAAGGGTCCATAAAAATAAATTGATTCATAGGTGTATTTTGAATTAATAGACAGAATATCCACTAAAAATACAAGATACAAATGTTATAGGTTGAGTTGCAGTTGAGAGAGTAAAATAAGTATTTGATCCCCAAGCAAAACATGACTTGGTACTTGGTGGAGAAACCCTTGTTGGTAAGCAGAGGTAAGACATTTCTTGTAGTTGGTTACCAGGTTCGCACACATCTCAGGAGGGATTGTGGTCTACTCTTCACAGATCTTCTCCAAATCCTTAAGGTTTCTTGGCTGTTGCTTCCTCCATAAATTTTCTATAGGATTAAGGTCTGGAGACTGGCTATAGGCCACTCTATGATCTCAATGTGCTCTTTGAATCAGTCTGTTTTAGTGGGTTTTTTTTTTTTTTTTGTCATTGCCATGCTGGAAGACCCTTTCACGTCCCTTCTTCAGTGTTCTGGCTGAGGGAAGCAGGTTCTCCAAGTTTTTACAGCACATGAATGGGGAAAGTGTCAGCGTGGCTAGGGGGCAATCTGAAATGTAAACTCTGATGAAGACATTTTATAGAAATGCCAGATAATACATGGAAGTTTGTTAGTTGTATCTGTTTTATGTATGAAAAAAAAATACTTTAAGGTCACTTTAACATCCTGATTACAACATGTGATTTTCTGAACTGATGGACTAGAGACAAAGGTTCACTCCATGTTCTTGTGCAACTGTACAATATAAGGTAATGATTGTCTATGGAATCAGTAATTATTCCCAGGACTCAAGTTCAGTGTAACTGGTTTGTGATTTCAACTCCTGCCTTTCATTTAGACCGGTGTGCCTTTGAACTTACCCATGAACTTAAATAAAAAAAAAAAAAAAAAAAAAAAAAAAATCTCTACAGTACTGTGAAGATCCGGTTTAGCTGGTAATGGTACTTCTTAAATTTTAAGATAAATGGGATGCATCTTTACAACTATAATAACTTAACATTTTTCCCTGTGTTCTGAAAGATGTCATCACACTCCCTGGCTGGAGAAAGCCTTGTATTGTTCTTTCAGCCTGTAATTAAACAGATTACAGAGAAACAAAGATACTACTTGATGTGCATAATGATTTCAACAATTTTGCTGCTGAATCACAAGGGATGAGGCGATAGGCAGGGCTTAGTTAGTCTTGCTTGCGGGTTGTCATGTGTGTTTGTTGGTTTTTTTTTTTTTTTTCTGCAGTTTGTGATCCCTTTCCCTAGTGATTACATGAGTGCAATGCAACACTTTATGACATTGAGCCCCGATTCATTGCACACCGCATGTGAGTTGCACAGGAATAGCACTGATTTCCTGTGCAACGCACATGTAATTCTGTGCAGATTCATTTTTATATGGCTCAATTCGCATCCGCACAAAAATGGTACAGGCACTTTTGCCGCAATGGAATCCGGATTCCATGTGATTCAATTCAGGCACTGCCTTTTTTGCTACCTGCTTTTGGGGTGTCCTTTTTTTAAAACTGACACCTGCAGCAAATCACATGAGCACAGTGTGATTGCTATGGTGTGGGAAAAGCACAGAAATTGTTGCATTTCCCACACCGCATCAGTGTGAAGCCAGGCTGAATCTGTCAGGAATGTGGATCAGACACCTTCATTGTTGTACTCAGTCCTGGCCTGCAGACTGGCTGAATGCAAATAAAGCTGTTTTTACGTTGGCCTATGCCTGTAAAGGAGTCTCTCAGCACAGGGAAAGGGGTAAAAGGTTTGTATGTAGGTGTATGTAGAGCAGCTAGTGTGTTCTAGCAACATGCCTACTTGTAAGGCTACTTTCCTGGACAGTAGGAGACATCAAGTTGGGGGGGGGGGGGATGCTGAACCTGGAGGCTGCATGAGATGAAAGGGAAGGGGGGATGCTGAACCTGGAGGCTGCATGAGATGAAAGGGAAGGGGGGATGCTGAACCTGGAGGCTGCATGAGACGAAAGGGGGGGATGCTGAACCTGGAGGCTGCATGAGACGAAAGGGGGGGGATGCTGAACCTGGAGGCTGCATGAGACGAAAGGGGGGGATGCTGAACCTGGAGGCTGCATGAGACGAAAGGGGGGGATGCTGAACCTGGAGGCTGCATGAGACGAAAGGGGGGGATGCTGAACCTGGAGGCTGCATGAGACGAAAGGGGGGGGGGATGCTGAACCTGGAGGCTGCATGAGACGAAAGGGGGGGGGGATGCTGAACCTGGAGGCTGCATGAGACGAAAGGGGGGGGGGATGCTGAACCTGGAGGCTGCATGAGACGAAAGGGGGGGGGGATGCTGAACCTGGAGGCTGCATGAGACGAAAGGGGGGGGGGGGATGCTGAACCTGGAGGCTGCATGAGACGAAAGGGGGGGGGATGCTGAACCTGGAGGCTGCATGAGACGAAAGGGGGGGGGGATGCTGAACCTGGAGGCTGCATGAGACGAAAGGGGGGGGGATGCTGAACCTGGAGGCTGCATGAGACGAAAGGGGGGGGATGCTGAACCTGGAGGCTGCATGAGACGAAAGGGGGGGGGATGCTGAACCTGGAGGCTGCATGAGACGAAAGGGGGGGGATGCTGAACCTGGAGGCTGCATGAGACGAAAGGGGGGGGATGCTGAACCTGGAGGCTGCATGAGACGAAAGGGGGGGGGGATGCTGAACCTGGAGGCTGCATGAGACGAAAGGGGGGGGGATGCTGAACCTGGAGGCTGCATGAGACGAAAGGGGGGGGGGGGATGCTGAACCTGGAGGCTGCATGAGACGAAAGGGAACAGAGAATGTTGAGCTTGGAGGCTACATGCAATAAAAGGGAAGAGGGATTTTCAACCCAGAGGCTTATGGCCTGCACAATTAGCTAGTGCCCCCAAACTACATCCTGAGCTCTCTAACAAGGACACCTAAGACTCAGCCCTACTTGCTGCAGAAGTGGAGTGGCTTTCCCTCTTTGATCTCTTTGCTCATCTTGGGAAGCCTCTTACCTCCTTTGCCAAGAGCGAAGTGATTTTATTTGCAATTTATCTAATATATTGATGCCATGCACTAAGTTCTGACTATTTTTTTTTTTTTTTTCTTCTATGTTAATCCTCCAGGGCTTTGAATACAGCCGCAGCGGGAATCCTACAAGAAACTGCCTGGAGAAAGCTGTTGCTACCTTGGATGGTGCAAAATACTGTAAGGAACATTTAAATTTACTGTTATAAGCAATTTCCTAGAGAAATAGAAATATCCCAGCTTTTATTTATTTTTTTTCTTGAAAGGTTCACTCTAACAGATTTTCTCTTGTCAGGTCTGGCCTATGCTTCTGGTTTGGCTGCAACTCTTAACGTTGTTCACCTACTCAAAGCCGGAGACCAGATAATCTGTACATCTGACGTATATGGCGGTAAATGTCAACTTTGGGTGATATCGATCCAGTAAATGAGTGACCCAGTTAGACATAAATCAAGACTCTTCTTTTAACAAAGTTTTGTGTGACTGCTGTTTTGTAGTATTGTGACCTGTGCACTTGTAATCTCGGGCAGCTCATTGTGACAGATTTACGGAGGTCTGCAGTAGATTTCTCACTGAAGATGACAAATGTTCACTCTAAACAGATACACAACTAAGTGGTCAAGGGCAGGCTCCATTCTGTCATATTTGTGGGGGGGATTTACTGAAACTGGAGCACTCAGAATTTGGTGCAGCTGTGCATGGTAGCCAATCGGCGTCTAACTTCAGCTTGTTCATTTTTAACAAGTCCTCGTGCACATTGGGTGTTTTTTTTTAAAAAAAACTCCAGTAGCGTTCGCTGTATAAAGTCACGTTAAATGTTTTTGCATTATCGTTCAGCTGTGTTTAACAAATTAAAATTTTGGCAAAAAAAAAAGCCTGCTGCGTTTACCAGCATTAGAGCATTTTTACAGATAGAAACTTCTGTAGAAACCCACTAGTTCTGGGCCTTTTTTTTCCAGCCAGAAAATGCCCCTGCCAAAGAAATGCTGATTAAAGCCTATGTGTGCATGGACACATAAGATAACATGCTGGGGGTTTTACTGGCTGTAAAAAAAAAAAAAAAAAATCCATTGTGCATGAGGAATAACACCTGGAAACTGGTTTCCATGCAGAATTGCACCAGATTTTGCAATCTCCAGTTTTAGTAAATAACCCCCAGCTCAGTTCTGCTTTGGACAAGTTGAGGGGGGAATTTGACTGGGGGGGGGGGGGGGGGTAATAAATATGGGTTTAACATAACCTAAGGTGGACCTAAAAAGTCTGGGATTTAAAATTAAAAACAAAGATCCATACTCCCCTCTGTGTTGCAGCATAGGTCTGATGCTGCAGCTGTTCATGTCGATTCTCGGTCTGCTCCGAGCGGACAGCAGTGGTTGTCAGTCACCAGGTCTACACTCAGCTCCTCCAGCACTCACTGTTATGCCAGGCTGGAGAAGGGCGGGGCTATTCGGCGCAGCTGGCACCGTCTCTCAGCTGTCAATCATGAAGTTGGGTGGATCCCAACAATATTGTTGGGATCCCTCTAGAACCAGGAGTGGCTCCACCAGATTGACTGACAATGGGTAATAGTCCGCTATAGGTTGACTCTGGGTCACAGAAGAGCAAAAGTGCACTCCTGTGACCCATAAGAGAAGAATGATCAACAAAAGCTTTGGCCATACTTCTTTAACCTTTTTAGGACCCATTCACACCAGGTGCGCTATCATGCCTTGATCAATGCATGCAAAGGCGTATACTTAAAAGCAATGTGTTTCTATGGAAGCAGTTCATGCCAATGTGGTGCTGATGTGCATAGCCCTGTGCTCTACAGAAAACAGAACTGCAGTGCTGTAATTTTCTGTAAAATGCAATTTGGCAGCATGGAGGTGTTCTGTACATAAATGGTCTTCAAATCCCCCCCCCCCCAAACAAAAACAACATACTTGGTGAGATACTCCCAAAGTGAGATCACATCTAAAGGGATGCAGACTCCAACACTTTCCTCAGAACGCTGTAGGTGCAGCAGCTAGTTGATTATAAAATCACTCCCATTAGATTTAATTTGCACATGGACACAGACAACTAGCTTTTTCCTGTTTGTTTTTTGTTTTTTTTACCAAAAGGTTGAACTCTGCAACAGGATTTTTTTTTTTTTTTTTTTAATTCCCTGCAATGTACATAGATCACCCAGAGGAGTGTTTTTTTGCTCATCGAAAGTGGAGTTACTCTTTATGTAGGCCAGCATTTTGCTCTTTTGGATGTAGTTTTCCAGGTATAGATCTGTAGAAAGTCCTCTTTATGAGTGTTGGGTAGTGTGCAGTGATTACTACATTTTTATTAAAATGCCATTTTAAGGGTCATACGACTTTGATGTGATTCTGTACTAAGGATCCTTCATCTGGACTGTTGGCAGGTACAAACCGATATTTTAGAAGAATTGCAACAGAAATGGGGGTGAAAGTGGTATTTGTTGACTGCTCCAACCTCAAGTGTCTAGAGGCAGCAATTACACCAGAAACAAAAGTAAGTATGATAGATCGGGTATTGAAAAGCTAAACATACAACAGTTGTGTAGGAGCGCACACTTCATTATCTATTACATGGTAATCCTTGGGTGTTTGAGGGATTTGTTTTAAATCCGTAAAGCTCTATGAAACAAGTCGGTGCTTTATAAATGTAAAGAAATACGAACATCAAAGCAGAACTCCAGTTTGCAGGTTTCTATTTTAACCACTTCAGCATCAGCCTGTACTGCTCCATTACCAGGACATTTTTCAGTTTTTAACGCTGTGATCGTTTGACTGACAACTACTCAGCCATATAACGCTGTACAATAAATTGTTTATGGGATGTGTATAGGGCAGGGGCATATTTACCACAAGGCATTTGCCTAGGGTGGCGTTTTTTTTTTGGGGGGCAGCACTGCCCTCTAGAAGAAGGGACATATGCAGCATGGGGACCAGGTGGGATCCGAGAGAGGCTGCTGGGTGCTTGATGGTGTATGCAGAGCCAAACTTTCATTCTTGGGGACGTCCAGAGCTGTGAAGGTGAGTCTGTCGCCGTGGGGGTGGATGTTAGTGGAAGGCGCTCTTAATTGGGGATGGAGCTGGGGTGTTGGTCACTTGTAGGCCCTCACTGGGGGGGGGGGTGGGGGGTCTGGTGTTGGTTGGTGTCAGGCTCCCTCTCTCTGCCGGAGGGGGGGGGGGGGGGGGGGGGGGGGGGGGGGGGGGGGGGGGGGGGGGGGGTCGGAGTCCTTCCTTCCTTTCCTTCCTTCCACTGGTATAGGGGAGTCAACCCCCCCATCTCTGAAACTGAGATGTTGCCTGAGCTCTGCTGAGGCAAATCATAAGTTTGCCCTTGTGACATCACTGCAATAACAAAAGTACAGACCAATCGGATGCCGTCTAGGCCAAACTGTCATCACTGCAATCAGAGGAAAGCAAGCGGAGAAGATTTGAAATCCCCGCCACTTTCTCTCCTCTGGTCAGTGTGATTTCAGGTGCAACTTGGCTGACATCTGTGTGACTTAACGCACAGATGCCTGTACAGGTCGCACCTAAAATCACAAAGAATAATGCAGAGTGGTTTTTTTTTTTTTTTTTTTTTTTTTTTTAAATTCAAATCGGTGCAGCACCACGTCTACGTCACTCAGAACAATTCCATTGCCGACAAAGGGGTGCGACTTGGAACTGTCGAAACGCATGCCAAGTCACACTGGTGTGAACCAGGGCTATTGCAGAGAATGTATTACAGTAGTTGTAAACCTCAGATCTGAAATATGAACAAAGCCGCTCTATAGTGTCTGCTTGTCTCTATCCAGAGCACTAAGTGTTGTTTCCATCTGCTGATTTATTTGTGTGCTATCAGCATGAATCGCTTCCGACAAGTTTACCTGACCCCAAAAGAAAAATGGTGATGGGAGGAACCTCTAGCAGATTGACAGCCTCAGCTCTCTTCCTGCGTTCTGTATGGAGGGGGGGTCCTTTCCCTCCCCTCCAATCGGCTCTTAGATCTCCTCACTTCCCCCCACCCCCTGCTTTTCAGAGCTGAGAGATGTGTAAATTCTGCACTTTCAATGGGTGTAGGGGATGGACGGCTTCAGATAAACAGGTATAACTTATGTAGGAGGATTTGTTTCATCTCTGGGTATCACCTGAGGCCAGTCACTTCACTGGGTATATGTAAGGGGTTACAGATACTTTAATGTAAACAACCTTTTTGAGTTTAGATCCACTTCAATTTTCAGCAAAGATAGCTAATGGGAGTTGAAAATAAGTCCGCAGGCTAAAAACAATGACCGTTCTATCACATTGACCACTTGGAGAATTGATTCATCTGTAGATATATATGATATAATGTGGTTTGTGCTCTAAAAGTGTGCCGCTATTTCTTTAGTTTTTAAGGCAATTTAACTTTTTCAGCTTGTTTGGATTGAAACCCCAACAAACCCAACCCTCAGCGTTATCGACATTCAAGGGTCTGCTGAGGTCGTCCATAAACATAAAGATATCATCCTGGCGGTAGACAACACTTTTATGTCGGCATATTTCCAAGTAAGTAAAACTGGTGTTTTTAAAAAGTGTACTAATTTGTGTTTTCTGTAAATGGGGTTTTTTTTTTTTTTTTTTTTTTTACTTAAATCTAATTGCCTGCCCCATCCTCATGTCTTTAAAAACACTTTGCTGGCTGAGCTTTTTAGTGCACATTTTTGGCCTGAAGTTTGCTTTTACGCTTTTACTGATTACATTTAACACATGATAGATGAAGTCTCAGGTACTCTATACTAGAGCCCTCATGTCTCCTCTGCACTCCAGTGCAGGGCTCGCTCTCCTTGTTTTCCCAGCTAGAGGCACTGGGTTATGATGGCCCCGAGCCTGGAAGTGCTCAGCACTGAGCACTTCCAGGTTCAGTGATTTCAGAGCAGATTGGGGAACAGTGTTTGTTTTGTTTGTTCTTCCAATCACCATCCTGAAAGGATTTGTTTTGATCCCATGAGGAGTGAGCGGGTCCAGGAACCCAAAAAGGGGTCTAGCAATGAAGGGGGCCGCACACTCCAAGCCAAGTATATGATTAGGCCGCTTTAAATCTGCTTAAATCAAACAGGGAGCTTGTTTTAATCCTATAATTTATTATTATTAATTAATTAATCATCATAATCATCATAATCATATTATATATATATTTTTTTTTTTCCCAGAAAGTAGCCCAAGTCGAAGGCCTGTTTCCTGCCAACATGTCCGAGAATCCCCGCCCTCTTTGTGGAAGCAGTGGTCTGAGTTTTAACACGCTTGCTGATTTAGGCCTATAGTACTGCAATTGAATCTCCTGCTCCCTGCTGATTGTTCTAGTTCTAACTCTGCAGAGAAGTGTCAGACCTCTGCAAAGAGACCACTGCTTCCACACAAGGAAACCAGCCTCTGCAGCATGCTGGCCAGAAACAGGGTTTTCTACTACGTGTGTGGCTATTTTTTAAGGTTCAACACTGGAATAAGCAAATATTGTCTAAATACAAGAGGCATGTGTATTTTTGTGTGGATCTTGATTGCTGTTTCTTTTAGACCTGTGCCATAATCCAGCAGATTTCCTCTAGATTAACCACTTGCCTACAAGGCACTTTTACCCCCTTCGTGCCCAGACCAATTTTCAGCTTTCAGTGCTGTCACACTTTGAATTGCAATTGCGCAGTCATGCAACACTGTACCCATATGAAATTGTTATTTTCACACAAATAGCTTTCTTTTGATGGTATTTAATCACCACTGGGCTTCTTATTTTGCACTATAAACGAAAAAAACCCACTTTTTTTTTGAAGAAAATGCTTTTTGTTTCTATTATAAAATTTTGCAGACGGGTAATTTTTCTCCTTCACTGATGTGCATTTTGAGGCTGCACTGAGGTGGGCATTGATGAGGTATTGATGATGCTGCACTGGTGGGCACTAATAGGTAGCACTGAAGGGCACCGGTGGGCACTTTTGGGGCTGCACTTTTCCGTGCCCTATCAGTGCAGCTGTCTGACAGTTGCCAGTTATCGGCAGCACTTTCCTCACATGTAGTTTTCTGCAGCCAGCCTGTAGTGGGCCCCTCTGACTGCACTGCTCTCTGTACTGGCTATATACGGGTGTTGGGCAAAAAAATGGAAACACTATGACTTGCATGTGTGAAAGTGAAGACGTTTCACATTGAAAGCGGAAGTGATGTAACATTCTTTTTGCTTCCGCTGTGTTTGCTTCTCCCATGAAGACTGAGATTGAGCTCTGTAGTCCCTTTTGCAGCAGTTGTTTTTTCTTATTCTGGGTCCCAATCCTGCGCAATGTCCTTTGTCTTTCAGTCAGTTGACAATATCAACCGCACCTATGCTGATCGAACGACTTTTTCCTGGAAACAGTATATTCTGTCATAACCTTTGATCCTGTACCTCGTGATATGGCAAATTGGCAACTTCAGTCACAGGGGCACCAGCTAAGCGGCACCAACAATTTGCCCTCTTTGAAGCTCAGTGAGCTCTGACATGACTCTGTATTACTAGCAGCGCACACAGTGAATGACGAAAGTGAGGCTTCCCACCTGTCGTCACACAGCGGAAAGAAAAGAATATTACATCACTTCCGCTTTCAATGTGAAACATGTCATCACTTTCACACTTGCAAATTTTATTATTCAGGACTTGTATAGCTCCAACAGTTTGTGCAGCGCGTTACAAAATGAAGGTAGACGTTAGTTACAACTTGCTACAAGAGGAAACCTGCTTGTTAGAGTTTACAATCTATGTAGTGTTTCCATTTTTATGTCTAACCCCTGTACAGCAGATGTCACTGCTACTTTTACAAGGCGTTATCTGGGTTTGCAAAGACATTTTAATGCTTTTTTTTTTTTTTTTTTTAATCCTTTTTATGGCTATTGAGAAGCTTTAAGGAAAACAAACTAAAACTTTGAAAGACTTACACTAACATTTCAGTTGAGTTTTAGCTCTACAAGTAAAGCCAGGAAAATGCAGATCCTGACACTTCTGGGTGTGTCGGATTCTTCTTTCTAGCTGTCCCCTGCTAGCCTTCCATTTAACTGACAGCTGAGGCTGTGTGCAGCAGAACTGCGTCCGAACACAGCTTCAGCAAATGTTAAGAGCTGAGACTAATCGTGAGCTGCCACTTTCCTGTACAGAGACTCGGCAATCATTATTTGAATATCCTTTCACACCAAATTTGCTTCAATAATTTGAGTCACTGACCTGGAACAAACATGAAGGCAGTGCAGTGGATAAGGGGGTACTACCAGTCCTTTTGTACAGGGCTTGGGCCAGCAGGGGTGGTCCAGGCAGCTGGGGGACTCGGATGTGGGAAGGGAGGGTGATTAGCATGGCAGGGGTGGCAATTACTGTAACCAACCTGTGCGGCTCTCTGCAGCAGCTGAAAGCTGGCTTCTTTTCTCCCTCCTGCTAGCTTTCAGCTGCTGCTGCAGAGAGCCATGCAGGGAATCTGTTCCAGTAATTGCCCCCCCCCCCCCCCACTGCATCCAGTGCACCATACGTTGCCCACACCCCCTGCAGTGCTGCCAGCTTCCCCTCCTCTCATTCTCACTGGCAGCTGCAAGCACACAATAGGATCATTCAGAATGGATAGTGTAGGAAGGGTCCATTAAATTTGCTACATTTACCAGCCCCCTCCTTCCCTGAAATGAACACAATGAGTGATCGGTAGCAATCACTCACTGTGTGCATAACAAGCATGGTAGACTGGTGAACATCCTCCATAGTGTAATCCACTTTATTGTTTAAGGGAAGTAAGTGAAATGCAAACTCGCATATATGCAGCTGTAATCAAAGCATTACACTATGGAGGATGTTCTCTTCTCTTGTTTTATGGGGATTTGAGTTATGATTCATCCTGCTCACTGGTCCCCAAGGAGAATTTGGAAAGGTGGATACTGATTACTGGGGAGCCTTTTTCAAGTTACCAGTTCCTGAGGAGTGCTGTTTGCTGAGAGGCCCAGCGATGATAATGAATCTAGCTCTGTGGCCCTGCAGGGTCGCAGGGTGGAGGTGAGAGGCCATTACAGCCATTATTGGATCACATCCAGGGTGTGTTGGTTCATATACATTCCTTTCTATTTGCATGATCAGAAGGAATGCTACACAGATCACTGGACTGTTTTGGTTTTTTTATTGATTTGCAGTGCTGTTTTTTCACTCACACTGAAGCATTTGATCCCGGTATAGGGACTTGCTTAACACCTGTTTATGTCCCCTGATTGTGGATTAAGGGTTCACGTATTATCCCCATGTGGATTGGGGGACACCCCCCCCCCTTATCTAAATCATCTACCATCTGTGACGTGTGTATTTTTCACTGTGTGGTCATCATTATTTAATTGTATTTACATGAGCGCTACATAATGTATTGCTTTTCATGTCGTAGAACCTTCATATGATTGTAGGCAAAAGATTTGTCAGCTTTGTTTTACAGCGCCCCTTGTCCACTGGCCCTAGGGGCAGACATCTGTATGTATTCAGCAACTAAATACATGAACGTGAGGTTATTATTGCTTTTGGATATTGAATGTTTACTTATTGTAATTAGTTAAGCTCCTTGTCCACTCCAGAGGCTGCTGCTCTTGTGCTTTGCTGCAAAACCTTGAAGCCAAATGTGATAGTCCTGTCTGTCCTTTCTACAGGTAGGATGATGTAGACCTAAAAGATTATCACTTTTTTTTTTTTTTTTTTTTTTAAAGTAAAACTCCACACAAGTGAAAAGGCCTGGGTTATATGTTCTGGCCATGGGCACTACCCTACTTTATACTTTGAGTCAAAGGAAAGACTTAAAAAAAAAAACAAACAAAAAAAAACACCTTTGACTGTACTTCCTTTTTTTTTTTTTTTTTTTTTTTTTTTTTTTTTTCCCTCTTTGGGTCCCATAATGACTTATCTCCTGTCCCATAGGCAAAACAAGAAGTGCAGAAATTCTTCCCTGAGGGAAGCCCAGGGTGCCACCAGAACTTATCCCCACTGATTAATTTGACCATTTCCCCTCTATCACTATTCTAAGAACAACCCAAAATTTGGACTTTTATTACATTCACTTTTAGTGACAATGGTAAATGGGACAAATAAGAGGGGGAATCTCTATAAAGGGGGTACAAACCGCAATAAAAAACACAGGGGTTTGATTTTGTCTAAAACTAAAAAATGTCTTTAGTTTTTATATTTAGTTTTCTTTTCTCCAAAGAACCACCCCTCTGGTCCCCACTTTTTTTTTTTTTTTTTTTTATAATTTTCCAATCTTCCAACACCTCCAGCCACTATAACAGACTAGGGCTTAAAAAAAAAAAGTGACTAACAGTTATACTGGCTGGAGAGGGTGTTGGAATTTGAGGATCATTTGTGGGGACTGTAGAGGAGGATTCTGTTCACATTTGCATTTTTTGTTAAACTCTTTAAGGATTACATTTTTAGACTTTTATTGGCTCCTTTTTGTTGAAAAAAGCCAGGTTATGGATCTCAGTGGCTGAAGCCTGTATTTAAACGCATAGAAGGTGCATAGTTCAGTCAGTATGTGTTGGTGTGTCTTCTTCTTTTTTTTTTTTTTTTTTTTTTCAGAAACAGAGCCTAAGGGCAGGCAGCCTCCTTAGCTAACCTATAGTGCTCTGGAAATACTTTGTCATGTAAATGAAATATGGTACCCTCCTGTTGTATGGGTGACTGTAGATAACAATTGTTAGTCACTTCTGCCCCCCCATCCTGACAAGGGGGGGGGGGTGTGTGTGTCTGACAATTTTTAAATATTGAAAATTGTGTGTTTGTTTTTATTTGCTCTAGGTCACAGTGATGTTGTCATGGGGCTGGTTTCTGTAAACTGTGACAAACTCTACGAGAGACTCAAATTTCTGCAGAATGGTAAGTTGCTATATGGCGTCTGGGCCGAAGGGTGGGGTAGCTGAGTGCGGATTTGGAGATCTATGGATTAGGTCAATGCCATCCAAAGCTAAGCCAATTTCTCATATGTATAGAAATTGCTCTTGCACCTGGAAGGTCATTTAGAGCCCAGGGCAAATGACAAATTGCATGTCCCCCCCCAACCAAGATGTATGGACATTGTCACCAGAAATCCTAACACCTGTCAATGTGCCCCACAGAAGTGCACTTTGTTAAAAGCAGATGGCCTGAGATTAGCAGGCTGCCCATTGGACGGAGCTGCAGTGCAGTGAAAAAACTGGTTTCATTGTGAAATCTGTCTTCAAAAAGGCATGCAGAAGGTGGCATATGGCCTGCTAATCACAGACCAACTGCTGACAAAGCAATCCACCATAGATTGAAATTTAGCAGCATTGCCTATGTGAAAGGGGCCGATGCTGATGTCAGACTGGACACTCTTGCAATCCTACTGGTGACAGTTTGATGAAATTGCTAAGGGCAAGTGTTGGAATACAGTGTTCTTGTATTTTTGTGCAACTACACCAACCATATTCGATGGAGATACTCTTCAACCAGTAGATGGCAGTGTTTTATAGCTGCCTTTATGATTTTAACTGTCTTTTTTTCTAATAAAGTTCCTGTTAGCAGAGGGGCAGCAGATAAACACATGTGGACTGTGCACTGTCTGTTCTTTAGGGCTGTATACAGAGTCTCTAACCGCAAGATTGCTAAGAGGCAGCCTGTCTTTTCCTATGGAATCATTGCTTTTGTAACAGGTGGCACAATGTTGCTCCCATTGCTAGCAATTCAAAATTCAGCAGTGCTTAGACCAGTGACAGAGTGGCATATTACACCTGTCTACAGAGGGAGCCATTTCATAGGGACAGCCAGGTGGCCTCTTTAGCGATCGTGCAGCTGGTGATTTCTCTGGTGGCAGAATGGCCCATCTGACATCAGCCCAAACTGTAATAAATCCAGGGATTTTTTTCAGCAGGAATGTGGGGGGAATGCAGTTCCAGCACTGAATGTATGTAATGACAAGGGTTCTCAGGCTCTAGGGTGCTTGATGGGATCTGAGGGGCATCTAATGTTGCTGGTTAGGTCTGTCTGCTGGTGGGGGGATCTATTTTTTGCTGGGGGGGGTGAGTCTTATGTTGCTAGGGGTCAATCATTGCTGGGAGATATCTACTATTCAAGGGGGAGCCGCCTGATGCTGGCTGTGGGGAGCCGCCTGATGCTGGCTGTGGGGAGCCGCCTGATGCTGGCTGTGGGGAGCCGCCTGATGCTGGCTGTGGGGAGCCGCCTGATGCTGGCTGTGGGGAGCCGCCTGATGCTGGCTGTGGGGAGCCGCCTGATGCTGGCTGTGGGGAGCCGCCTGATGCTGGCTGTGGGGAGCCGCCTGATGCTGGCTGTGGGGAGCCGCCTGATGCTGGCTGTGGGGAGCCGCCTGATGCTGGCTGTGGGGAGCCGCCTGATGCTGGCTGTGGGGAGCCGCCTGATGCTGGCTGTGGGGAGCCGCCTGATGCTGGCTGTGGGGGAGCCGCCTGATGCATGAGTGTCCATTATTGCTGGAGAAAATCTGTTGATGGGAAAGGGGGTCTATTGCTGTGGGGGTCTATTGTTGCTAGCTCCAGGGGGTACATTTTACTGTCTGCCTTTATCATTTGATAATGCCATCAAAAAATTCTTGTCACCCAACTAACAAAATATTTTGTTTGTGTTCTATAAAAGGGGTGATACTCGGAGGGGAGTAGAGGGTGGAACCAGGGAAAAGTGCTTGGGGGTGGAAACAGTGACTCAGAATGGGAGGGGTTCCTGTACCTATTCTCTGAGGGGGGGAAAGCCCTGAATAAATCTCAGACCTTTATTCCTGGGCAGCCAACTGCAACAGTGTGCAGATGCAAGGGGGGGCACAAATATGCTGGAGACTTCGCCAAACAAGAGGCAGCCTGATTTGCGTTCTAGCTGTGTTACTAATTCGTTTGATAAATGTCCCCCATTTATGCAGACATAATTGCCACAATTAGATTTCTAAACTATTTTGCTGCACAGGAAGCAGAGTTGGAAGCGAAAGTCTACAGAGCGTCTAGGATTCTACTGTACGAATAGATAACTAGGATAATGAGATTAATATAAAGTCAGTTCCTTCAGTGTTTAATGGGTTGGAGAGCAGGAGATATCCTATTGAGGATATTTTCTTCCTTGTGTCCAGGCTACACATAAACTCCCACTGTACATCAGACATATATTTCTATGATGATGAACATCTGTTTGTTTCAGCACTTGGCGCCGTTCCGTCCCCGTTTGATTGCTACCACAATCTGTAACCGCGGCCTGAAGACTTTACCTCTGCGAATGAGGCAGCACTACCACAATGCTCTGGCTGTAGCCATGTATCTCGAGAAGGACCCTCGTGTTGACAAAGTCATCTTCCCAGGTAGAACATCCAAACTGTTTAAAGGGTCATTTCAGGTTCTGCAGGAGAGGCGAATTTACAGGTTCTAATTTATAAAACATGCATTCTCTGCATTAATGTGAAAAACCTTAAATGCTCAGCTGGGCCAGCACCCGGCAATAGTGTCTGAGGTTGTAGGAACAAAGATCCACCTGGAGGGCTTTGAGTTTTATTTGTTTAGATAGCAACTTTGACTTTCTTGATCCTTTTTTACTGGCATCAGGTATGCAAGCCAGTTATTGCAGCTAGCATTAGCAAATACAGTAGAGGTCAGCAAGTCTCCACACATATTACTTAGGTGAATTATCAACCAATCCAAGAACTGTTGCGTCACACTGACTTGGGGGAAATCTTTTTCTAGATCAATGTAGTCTTCTTTTTCTTTTTTTTTTTCTTTCCTTTTTCTCTTTTTTTTTTTTCCCCCCCCCTTTTTTTTCTTCTCTTTCCCTTTTTTTCCCCCCTCTTCCTCCCCCCCCCCTCTTTCCCCCCACCTTCTCTCCCTCTCCCCCCCCCTCTTTCCCCCCCCCTCTTTCCCCCCCCCTCTCCCCCCCCACCCTTTCCCCCCTTCTCTCTCCCGTCCCCTCCCCCCTTCTCTCTCTCCTCCCCCCTTCTCTCTCCCCCCCCTTTCTCTCTTCTCCTCCCCCCTTCTCTCTCCTCCCCCCCCCCAAAACCCCTCTTTCCCCCCTTCTCTCTCCTCCCCCCCCCCCCTCTTTCCCCCTTCTCTCTCTCCTTCCCCCCCCCCCCTTTCCCCCCCCTCTCTCTCTCTTCCCTCCCCCCCCCCCCCCCTCTTTCCCCCCTTCTCTCTCTCCTTCCCCCCCCCCCTTTCCCCCCCCCTCTCTCTTCTCTCCTTCCCCCCCCCCTCTTTCCCCCTTCTTCTCTCTCTCCTTCCCCCCCCCCCTCTTTCCCCCCTTCCCCCTCCCCTCTCTCCCTCTCTCTCCCCCTTCCCCCCCCCCCTCCTTTCCCCCCTTCTCTCTCTCCTTCCCCCCCCCCTCTTTCCCCCCTCTCTTCTCTCTCTCTCTTCCTCCCCCCCCCCCCCCAGGCTCTTTCCCCCCTTCTCTCTCTTCTTCCTCCCCCCCTCTCTTCCCCCATTCTCTCTTCTCCCCCCCCCTCTTTCCCCCCTTCTCTCTCTCTTCTCCCCCCCCCCCCTTCTTTCCCCCCCCCTTCTCTCTCTTCGCTCTCTCCCCCCCCCTCTTTCCCCCTTCTCTTCTCTTCTCCCCCCCCTCTTTCCCCCCTTCTCTCTCTTCTCCCCCCCCCCCCTTTCTCCCCCCCCTCTCTCTTCTCCCCCCCCCTCTTTTCCCCCCCCCTTCTCTCTCTTTTCTCCCCCCCCTCTTTCCCCCCTTCTCTTTCTCCCCCCCCCCCTTCCTCTCTCCTCCCTCCCCCTTACCCCCCCCCTTCTCTCCTCCCCACCCCCCCTCCTCCCTTCCCCCCCCTCTCTCTCCTCCCCCTCCCTCCCTTCCCCCCCCTCTCTCCCCCCTCCCTCCTCTTCCCCCCCCCTTCTCTCCTCCCTCCCCTCCCTCCGTCCCCCCCCTTCTCTCCTCCCTCCCTTCCCCCCCCCTTCTCTCTCCCCCCCCCCCCCCCTCTCATCCCCTTTTAAAATTTATTCTTTTATTCTGTTTACTTATTTTTACTTTTAAGGGCTGCCATCCCATCCACAATACGAGCTCACCAAGCGGCAGTGCACCGGTGTCCCTGGTATGGTTACATTCTACGTCAAAGGCAACTTGGAACATGCCAAGATATTTCTGAAGAGTGTGAAGGTGAATATTGTTCTTCAGCAGCTAATATACAGGCTGGATGTTCTGGAATATATTATTGACTTGCATTATAAAGCTACATATTCCAGCAGCTTGTCTGGCCCTGGTATACAGCATGTCGGGGACCCACAGACCTATCCTCACTAGTTACAAGGGTGTAGGTATGAGCTTAAAGGTTGCTAGCTGTCAGAGCCACATAAATGACACACAAATGAAAGCAACTTTTTTTTTTTTTTTAGTTCTATATTGCACCCTTCAGCAGGCCATGTGACTCTGGTACCTAGCACATGGAGCCCTATGCCCTTTAGAATAGCCATATAATTGATCTGAGATGTGTGGTGATAATATATTGTAAGAGGGCGGGTTCAATTTGATATAGAGCAGTAAACATGTACAAAACAGTTACACCCAGCAACAGTCCAAGGAGGTTTATTCTGCTCTTTTTAAGCAAGGCAGCAAACACCATTTCAATGCAGGACTTTAGAACTTACAACATACAGATCAACACAACTCCAACACAGCCCCAGAGTTGCCATTCACTCTATTTAAAGCGGTATTAAACCCAAAAGCAAACCTTTTTGTTATATTGCAACTTACCAATTCCTAGATATGATTGCTGCATTCTTTTTTTCTGTTTCTCCTATTTTTTTTTCATCTGGTGATCTGGCCAGTAAGTCAGTTTATCTCATCTTTGCAATGGATACATTCTGCAGGAGGAGAACTTTTTCTTTTGAAAAACCATTTACCACTGATAGGGGTGCTTCCAATGATCAGCTTTTTGTTTATGTAAAACCTCCAAAAGGGAAAAGTGGTTTGCTGTAACTGCTTATAAAGTATTAGTGTAATTTCACAGGTTGTGTGGATTGGATGCAGTTCAAACTGCATCCAATCTGCATATATGAACCAACATTGCTTCCTTTTGGTGCCTGTTTACATATGTCAGGGGTGCACTGGCAGTGCAGATTTAGTGTGTTTTTTTAGAGTCCTGAGCAGTACCTTCAGGTTCAGGTGCAGATTACAGGCTATTGACTTCTATGGGAACCATTCCTAAATGGCATATGTGTGAACAGGACACAATCCTGAGTTAATCCTGTCCTGAAGCTGATGTAAACCTGACATGATCCTCTGAATAACTACTGTATCAATTGGCTGTGACACCTGAGCTTCAATTCGCATCATACATGTGTGAATCAGCTCTTAGCTAGGGTTTGGCTCCAATTTGTTAGATGGACTAGCAGATTTAGATACACTAACACGCCCCTCCCCCCAGATTAATAATGCTGTTCTCCAAAGATGCCCCCCCCGTGCTCCTTCATCCAGAGTGGCGGTGCTCTAATACAGGAGGTGTTACTGGTTGGATCTCCAGGTGAAAACTGAGGGGTAAAAAAAGCCTAAAATAGAAAATGAATGCAGCCACCAAATCTGATTGGTAACGTGCAATAGATTACATTTTAGACTTTGGGCTTATTGCCACTTTAAGGCCGCTAGGAATCTGCTGATCTGTGTCACGCCTGTACACAGGCTCTTTAGTTGTGCAGAACTGATTAGGTGGGACTGTGACCTCTGTAAACTACTGCAAAGCTTGCTAGTAGTCTATACCTAGAAACAAAGATTAAAATGTTTATACCTAAAGTACAAATTTCCCTAACCAAAAATTTGTCTTTAGCACTGTAGTCGCAGCACGTTATTTGTACATACTGCATGCCTAGATGGTAATGTGGTGATCATTCTGCTAACAAAACCTGTCTTGATAGGTTTTTGCTTTGGCTGAAAGTCTTGGTGGATATGAAAGTTTGGCTGAGCATCCGTAAGTATAACAGATTTGTAAGGTGTGTGTGTTTTTTTTTTTTTTTTTTTTTTTTTTTTTTTTACACTTTAGTTTAACCAATAGCCTACAGGGTACTTATACCCCCTTCCTGTCCAGGCCAATTTCCAGCTTTCAGCGCTGTCACACTTTGAATGACAAATGCGTGGTCACGCAACACTGTACCGATATGAAATTTTTATAATTTTTTTGAAACTGAGCTTTCTTTTGGTGGTATTTTAAGAAAAAATAAAAACCCCAGAGGTGATTGAACAAACCAAAAACCACTGAAAATTTAGAAAAGTTTTTTCTTCGTTTTTTGTTATACAATTTTCTAAATATGTGATTTTTCTCCTTCACTGATGTGCACTAACGAGATTGCGGTGATGGGCACTGATAGGCTGCACTGATGAGGCACTGGTAGGTTGCACTGATGGGCATTGACAGGCATCACTGATACATGGCACTGACTGGCAGCTCAGATGGGCACTGATATGTGGCATTGATGTGCACTAGTATGCACTGATATGTGGCACTTATGGGCACTGGCACGTGGCACTGCTGGGGCTACACTGATCATCAGTGCCCTGATGATCAGTGTACATGTTCCCCTCCACGGAAAGCCGATTACTGGCTCTCCTCTCCTCTCAAGCTGTCAGCGTGACACCTCGAAAGGAGAGAAATGCCGATAACCGGCATTTCCGTGTTTATATGTGATCAGCTGTGATTTGGACACAGCTGATCACATGACTGAGCCGACATCTTCAGCTTTCTGTGATCCGCTGTGTCTGAGGGGCACCGTGCACCGGCAATCGCCACGCTGCGCGCGCTCCCTGAGAATGGTGGGACGTCATATGACGTCCTATCAGAACGAGAGAACCACCTTGCGCCCGTCATTGTACTATATGGCGGGCGGAAGGTGGTTAAAGCCACTTGGCAGATGTTGGTTTTTATCATAATGTATTAAATCCTTATCTCTAGATGTAAGCCCTGGATCATAACTGTTATGTGGGGAGAGAACACATTTTTATAAAGCTGCATCATGCTTGCCCCAATGTCTATTAAGCGCCATAAGAATTCTCTTCTCAAACACCTCTTGATTGCTGCAAAGGCCTGCATACCCTCCATGTGGAAAGACTGATCCACCTAGAGAAGAACAATGGCTTGCTGGAGTAGCCAATATTCAGTTATTGTAGCATCTTACTGTGGGAATAATGACCAGACTGAAAAATATTTTGAAATCTGGGCACCTTGTTTCCCCCCCCCCCCCCCTTCCATTCTTCCCAAGAGCCTTCTTCCCCCTACTTAATGGGCTTTGCCTCAGCCCACCCCCAATCCCCTTTCTGGTTACACAGCAGTTAAGCTGGTCAAAGATCATCAGGGACCTGCCGAGATTTGACCCATCTACGGGTAGGCTGGCTGTTCCCAGGTCGATCCATCAATCAACTAGGGTACAACCAGCTTGTCAGATTTAATTTTTTTTTTTGTGCAATTACTGCCGGAGGCTATATCCACTAGCAGTAATCAGTGTTCTGCCAGTTGTGAAGGCTTCCCACTGGCACAACACAATAAGGCTGTAAGTGGGATTCCCCCATCAACCCTGAGTGTGTATGGGTTATCGAGCAAGGTTTTTTTTTTTTTTTTTTTTTTTTTTTTTTTTCTTGCCACACATGGTGGAAAGGGGGAAAAAAATTGCAACATCCAGGCTTTGAATTTTATCCCAATCCTTCATTCCTTTCCACTCACTGCTTTAATGTTTTTTTCTAGAAAGAAAACGAAAATTGGAACAGAAGCATTTACCATCTTGCCTAAATGAATTTGCATTAAACATTGCTTAACTGAACAGCCCATAACAATCTGTTCTGTTTAAATAAAATAAAAAGAGGAAGCCTACCATTGTGTGATTGGATTCAATAGACTTGCTACAGTCTTTAATGATGTGAAACTCCCACAATGCAAGAAACAAAGTGATCTTGACTGAGGCTAAAGGGGTTCATGGCTAATCTGGTCCCTGTTTGTTTAGAGCTTAGTCTTTAGCTGGACGTATATATAAGTCGACTGTATTGCAAGGTAAAAACAGTTTTTCAATAGTTTATGGGTTAATAAAAGATCAGTCCACACAACACTAATATTCTAGTTTGTCAGGTAAAAGACAGTTAATGTAAACCTGTCCATCTTAATGTATGATATCTTCAGTGAAAACTTACATATTGATTAGAGGGTTCAGATATATAAGCAGCTGAAGTTGTGTGCAAATCATGAGATCTGCGTAAAACTTCAGCTGCTTAGATCTGTTGATCTAATGAACTTTGACATACACTTTTTTTTTTTTTTTTTTTCTCTCCATTTTTATGTGGTTTCTCATCCTAATGTTGTATTCTGAACAATAATGGGAGGAGTGGAAATGCCTCATCCTTAAATGTGGACCTTACTGCTGGAGTTCCACGGGTGCCGGATTTTTGTGGTTTGACATGTTTTGGGTTTTGTTTTGCAGAGCAATAATGACACATGCCTCTGTCCCAGAGGAAGACCGGGCTCTCCTCAATATCAGTGACACCCTTATCCGTCTCTCCGTTGGCCTAGAAGACACAGAAGACCTCGTTGAAGACTTGGATCAGGCTTTGAGGGCTGCGGTAAGTATTGCTAGTCGACTTGGCCTTTTGGCTCGATAGCAGTGCTGCAAGTTGTCAAGGGAAAAGGCACATAGTTGCTATGATGATGAAATATGGTTTAGGTGTTTTGGCTCTTAGGCCAGCAAATCAAACTTGTGTGGGTAAAGTTAGGAATTTATTGATGTAGGGTTCCATAAACTGGTCCATAGGGTTTGCTGCACTTTATCTTGGCCAAAGTCAAGAAGCGGTGGTCCATACAAGGCTGGATTTATGCGTAGGCAACAAAGGCCATGGGGCTCAAACTTCCAGAGAAGGCAACTGGCCATCTGAACATGCCATCCAGTGAAATCTGGATACATTCTTAGTTTCTTTTCTAGCACTGTGTGTTTTTTTTTTTTTTTTTTTTGGAACAATGCAGTGTGTACTTAAAGTGTTACTAAACCCACAACAGTACAATCAGTCTGTATATGCAGTAAAGCATGCTTGTTATACTCACCAGAACCTAAGGGGTTAATCCTCCTTTGTCTAAAGGTTGTTTGATCCTGTCTGCTCTGATCCACCTCTTATTCTACTGTCCCCAATCCATCTGCTGATAGCACAGAGCCCTGGGGGGAAGCTGCATATGCTCAGCTTGGTGTGTATTGCTGGAGAGTTAACTAAAATTGGTGTGGTGAAAAGGGGCAATTACCCCAGGTCCAGCAAGATAGTCCTACAAATGTGGCCTTTCAGTGCATGGCTGTTATAAACCGAAAACAAAACAGCCCTGTTTTAATTTCCAGTGCTCACAATCTGCTTTTTGTCACTGTGGTCATAAATCTCAGAACTAGAATAGTGCCACTGTCTGGTCCCCATATTCCTTTAATTGCCCAGTTTCAGGTATTGATGTCCTTACTACCCTTAGTCACCGGTCACACCTCTGCAATTGAAAATCTGTGGTTTTTTTTTGTGTGCAATTTCAGGTGTGATTTCTGAAGACTTTAATACTAACTGAAGATTTTCAGCATTTTCTTGCGATTTCTATTCTATGTATGTGAAATCACAACAAAACTGCAGAAAAAAGTAATGCAAGGACTCTTTTGGAAATTGCACTGCAGCAAATTGAACATGTTAAGACCCTGACATTCACATTCATTCAATGCAATTTCAATTCACAAATCTCACTGATATGACTGGGGACTTGGTCTACTGTAGTGGAGAGGAGAAGCACTTTTACTTGATGGTGCTCCCCCATGTTCTGGCAGTTGATGGCATCTAAAGCAGGGCTATGAGTCCTGCATTGGTTTTGATGACTTCAGGACTGCTGGAACATACGGAGGAAGACCCTGCGGGGACCTGTCTAGCAGTGCAGAGGATCAGGCAAGTGAATATTTAACAGGTTTCATACACCTGAATGAGCAGCCAACCCATGCGATGCGGGAGAATTTTTGTTTGACTGAGTCGCTTTAGGATCCTTGTTTACACAGTAATGCTCATGGCAATACAGTTGTGTGCTAATTCGTTGCCATGTGCAGGGGCGGACTGACAACTCATGGGGCCCCCGGGCAATATTGGATCATGAGGCCCCTGTGTCCTTGCCCAAACTCAAAAAAGCCTATGAAAAAGGTACCAGGGGCATCTCATGGGGCCCCCCTACTTTACCCTGGGCCCTCGGTAGTGCCCGAGTTTCCAAATGGTCGGTCCGCCCCTGGCCATGTGATATATGTGCATTGAGCCATTTTCAAGGATCACATTTGATAGCCCTGAATAGGACCAAGCAGGTCAATGCACCAAAAAGTCTATATACAAGACTGTCTACCAATCAGCATGGAAGAGGGCACTGGTCCTGTAGAATACTGTGGATCATTGCTCATCTGTTAGATCCGTTTTTTTTTTTGTGTTTTTGGATCATTTTAAAATTCTAATTCTCTCCTCTGTTTTACAGCACCCAGGTCTTAAAAACCCCCTCAAGGTGGAAGACTTGCTGGAGAATCTGAAGTTCAGCTGTTCAATATAAGTGTTTAATTCTTGAATGGTTTACAGAGATCTAGTCATAATTGGCCTTTCACAAGGGTCCTAAATTTTTCAAAAGGCTTACTGTTAAAAGATCTACACTTAGACAAATTAAATAAAGCTTTTATTTAATTTTGTCTGAGAATGACTTTTGAAGCCAAGCATTAGAAATGAGAAGCCAGCTAGGGTTTGACAGTTTCTGTCCCGTCCTACCTGAACTGATCGAATGTACTGATATTAAACTTGCAATTGTAACATTCCTTTTTTTATCTTGCTTTTTTCCTTTTTTATGCTTTTATCTAATGGACTGTTTTACGTGATTGTTTTGCACACTCAGGCGAAGGGTGTTTTTTTATCAGTATAAGCCCTGTAGTTGGCAGAAAAGCAACTGTCAAGACTTGAGGTGATTCTTTACTTCTGACTCAGAGTCCCAGCCAAGCTGGCCCAAGCACACAATTTTCTTTACTAACACATGAGCTTGCTGTCAGCACTGTATAAACTGTATGCAGCCTTGGGTATACAGCATTGTTCCAGCAGTGGTATGGGGACTTGCTGTCACTGGAATAAAATTAAGTCTGGCTGAGTGCTGCTTGGCCATTCACAGGAAGCTTTGTTTTTTGTGGGGTTGGACTACAAGAGTAGGATGGTTTGGGTGATATTGGGGACAAGATTGATGTAGCTCGGAGCAGAATTGTGAATGGCTTTGTATATTGGGCAGTATCTAGTATCTCTCCATAGGCTATCCTCCCCTTCAGTCTATCATGAATGCTGCTGCCAGACTCGTCTACCTTACCAATCGCTCAGTATCTGCCACCACCTCTGCAAATCCCTCCACTGGCTTCCGATTGCCCAGCGAATTAAATTCAAAAGGTTAATAACCTACAAAGCCATTCATAACTCTGCCCCGAGCTACATCGCCAATCGTGTCTCTAAATCTCATTCAAACCGTCCTCTCTGCTCTTCAAGACTTCCTGCTCTCTAGCTCTCTTGACTACTCATCCCATGCTTCTCTTAGGACTTCTCCAGTCTCTCCCATCCTGTGGAACTCTCTACCTCAATCTGTCCGTCTGTCTCCTACTGTCCACCTTTAGGCAGTCCCTGAAAACATCTCTTCAGGTAAGCCTATCATGTCTCCTAACAACTGGACTTTTAGTTCTTCCATCAGCTCATCCCTCTGGTATTACATTTTTTTTTTTTTTTGTCCTGCTTGCCCCACCCTATTAGATTGTAAGCTCTCATAAGCAGGGCCCTCTTAACCCTATTGTATCATAACTGTACTGTCTTCCTTTATGTTGTAAAGCACTGCTTAAACTGGTGCTATATAAATCCTGTAATGGTTTTGGCTAGCTTGACCCAAAAGAACAATTTTTAAAGTCCTATCTGGAGTTAGGCTTTCGGTAAGGGGAAATGTAGAAATTCTTTTATAGGCAAGTCTGCACTTGGTGATAAATGTAAAGGTAAACCATCACATCTCTGTATAAACCCATTTATGACTGGTACTCTTTAAATCGTGTCCTACCCTAGAATGATAGGAGAGCTGAGGGTTTTGTGTAGAACCTGAACAATTCTAAATCACTGCTAGCATGTCAAATATACGCTGCAATTACAAAATGACTAAATTGTGTCTCAAAACCACACATACACTTTTTTTTTCCTTTTTTTGTGAAAAGGAAATTCTTTAAGTCAAATGGTTTTAATATAATTGTGCAATTACTGTATAAAGATCAGTGGTATGCTGCTATATGGGTTAATTTAATCAGCACAATGCTGTTTGCCTGGCTGAGTCAGATTAAATGTGCAATAGCCTCTTGGTATGCAATTGGCAAAATTCATTGCCTAAATGAAGGTGAACTTAATTTATTTTTGTTTTTTAGAGACCTTATTGGCAGAAATTAAAAAAAAAAAAACAAAAAAAAAAAAACACCCCACCATAATGTAATGGGATGATTTTTTTTTTTTTTTTTTAAAAAGTCTTGCATATGTAGACCTACAAAAGCCCTGTGGCTACTGCTGGGTGAGGCAATCTTAAATGAGAAGTCAGCATTCTCAGAACTGTCACTCAAATATAGTATTCTCCCTTTGCTCCTCCCCTGGCAGCCACAAAAAAGGGCATCCACGGAGTGGAGGCAGAGGAGCTTGGCCGGTACAGTCATTGGACACTCCTAGGGAATTGGATCTAGCTGAATTTTCTAGCTAGCTCAAATGCACATTGCTAGTAGAGCATTTTATGGGAAGAAAATACATTGCAAGTGAGCATTTTTAAAATTAGATTTTTCTGTAAAAAAAACTTTTTTTTTTTTTTTTTTTTTTCCTGCAATTTTTTAAAGTTTGTGACAGGGCCTCTTTAAATTTAATTCCAAAGTCACCAGAACATGGTGGAGACTAGGAAAAAAAAAAATTAAATCAAGTTGGGCCTGAACTGGTGAGTCCAAACAGTCTAAGAGGTGCTGATCCTAATTTGCTATAATATGGGTTGCTGAGGTTGATTGACTGGTCTTCTGGACCTTTTTATGATCTGAAGGTCCACCTGTATCGGCCTATTTCTTGAGAAAGTGCAGCATAGTGTGCCAATAACACTGTTTGGGGTATTCTTATTTAACACCCATGCACTTTTTTTTTCTTTAAAGACTGGAGCATCAATATGCAAGCTTTCCATGTCAACCAATCAGAATTCAGTTTTCAGTAAGTTAATCTGGAAAGTCTAATTGAAGCAGATTTTCCACTGACAGCCATTGTTTGTTTGGCATTTGTGATTGGTCCAATATGAAGTACTCGGTACTGTTTCCAAAAGGCTAAAATGTCAAAATGACTTTTGAAAAAAAATAATCTTCAAATAAACAATTTAAGCCAATTTAGCACTGGTGTTTCTTTTGTCAATCTATATTTTTTTTTTGTGCAAATGGGATTTGGATAGTTGCTTATTCCAGGATTTTGAAGCTGGTCCAATGTATGTACCATATCAGTGGGGTCCCTGTGGAAGTTGGAAATCCTGTAGTAGACACTGCTACTATAATTTCCGCTAGCTTCTGAGTTCCATGCTGAGGGGTTGCCCTGTTGCTTACTATAAACAG